CTACGCAGAAAGGAATTCTACGCAAAAATACATTTGTTAAAAAGAAACTTTTTTTTATAAAAACTTTTTTTTCTATTTTTAATTAATTAATTTAATTAACCCCTCTCCTCCCCCTCCGCCCTCACCGCAAAAACGATGTGAGCGCTACTAAACATTTCCCAGAGGGGCTGAACACCTTTTGCAGAGATATTTCGTGGATATTTTTTGTTTGACAGCTCAGCTCGGAAATTTGCATGAAATACCATATTTCCAACCAACGTTATTATTAAATTAGTGCACAGATATAGTAAATTTTATTTTTGTTATAAAGTGCGAACTGTTGTCTACAAGTGTGTGCAAAAGTTTTTTGATTCGAATTGCGCGTTTGGGCACAGCACTCCAAAATCGTTGTACAAATGTGCAAACAGTACCCGTTTCGAACAAAGTTTTTCAATATTGTGTGAAAATTAAGCGTGGTAAGTGCAACAAGTAAGCTAACCCAATTTGTTTTTCTGCTACTGGGTATACATTTGGCTGAGCTTTCCATTACGGAACCAATAGCTAAATCTTTCAAAGTATACGGATTTTTTTTATAAATCTCTGTGGGGATATTAATGGAGGTCTTCTCCAACTGAATTTATCACTTTCACAATGCTGCTGCAAATTTTAATTTAAAACACCACTTTTCGCTTATATTTACAGTAATATGCTATCCTTATTAAGTAATTGATTAACTTTCATAGTGTATTGGAAATACCCTCGAGATGGGTTCGGAAAAAAAGCCATAGTAACAAGAGAGGAAGTGAATTCTAGCTCATTTTCGAAGGGAAATAGAAGACAATCACTCTCTCTAATTAAATTTTCAGTTCGATAATGGGCTGGATTTCGAATTCATAATGAAGGAAAAATACACTGGATAAAGAAGGTTCCGTTTTGCTGGAGAATGGTCTGGTTCTCGAATCGAATACTAATCTATCCACATTAGTTATCGAAGGTGAAGCTGGAAAACAAGATTGGTTTTCCAATCATTTTCGAATTGCTAACCAAGTCCAATGTTTATTGGGAAATGACAATTCGTCGCCTGGGTAAAAAATTGTCGTAAGCGTTATACGTTCGTACGTAACATACGACAATCTTTTTCCCAGGGAATTGACATTTGAGTATGCCAAAGCAGAGTTGGCTCTCCAAAACGGAACCAATCGAGATTTCTGCGAAAGTATAAGGAATTTCGTCATGAAACTTGGTGAGGATATTGGGGGAGGCTTTCTCTACATGAATTGATCATTCTCAGAAAGTAGTTGCTAATAGTATTTAAGCAATTTCTTGTTAAATAATCTTCACTAACACCCCCAAATTTTTGTACAAACCCTGCAAACCATTTTTTTCACAGTATTCTGCATTTTAAAGAAATTTTAAAGAATTCGTTATGATTTAATTCGATTTTTTGCCGAATTTTCTAAAATGAAATAAATTACGCACACTTCCATTCTTTTACGAAATTTCGGAAGAAAATCTGTGATGCAACGAAAATAATGGTGCTATGTGAAGAATACCTTTCAGAACTTTTCCAGAATTTTGTTTATTTTTCGTACAGAAATTTCTTTACGAGTTCGTGTCAACCACTTCATATAATTTTCTTTGAAAATTCGTAAAAAAATCGTTACAGAAATGAGATACTCCTAACGATTTCCTTAAGATTTCGGGAACTTTGGTTTGCAGGGTTATCACTTATATTTTGTGTGATATATTATATTTTCAATGTTCACGTGCGTATTTTATACTTTTAATATATATATACATATATATATCTTACATGAATTGGGGTATTCGGAGAAACTTCCAAGCACGTTCTTATCACATTATTTAAACCTGTTTGCTAATTTTTTGTTTACACCCCCCGGAGCACTAGCAAAAGTCGAGCCAGCATATTCACCTTTTGACCTAATGAAGGATTTGTAGAAGTTTAAAGCAATTCTTGGCTCTAGGTCAGATTTGATACTTGTTCGTTTATTAAGGACATTGTTGGCAGGGAGGATCTCTTTCTTAACATACCCTACATAATCGTTTATGGTTGCATTTGCTCTGACTATCCTGCTTAATCACTTAATTTTGAAAACTTGTTCAACCTGCTGTCCATTAATACTAAGATGAAACTCTCTCTTCGTATT